AAGTTTTCAAAATTGTAACTGAAATTGTCACACAATAATTCGCTTAAAATGATCAAAGTTTCAAATAAACGTCATGACGATCTTATTTCAAAAAGCACTCTTATCGAGATATCCGCGAAAGGAATCTACCACATGGCAGTCTTTCATCGAAAAATTCTGTAAAAGAGAACGTGCTACGATTTTGTTTTGACTTTGAGAATTGAAATCAACACAGCCCTTGGAAGCGTTAACTGAGTGGGGCTCTTGCCCGCCACACCGGTACCAGCGATTGTAATTCCAACTGGCGAATTCTGACAAAACATTTGTATCCGATGATTAGAAGAATCAGCTACGTACATTGTACCGTATTTATCCACAAAAATACCTGATGGATTATTGAATAATGTTGAATTGGATCCTGATGTACCACTACTTCCAAGAACAAATGCTCCATTAGATGCACCTATTGACCATTTAATAACCGATTGTCCTACAAAGTTTGATATGTACATCACATTCGTTGTCTCATCAACAACAATTCCGTAGGGAGAATTGAGTTGAGTATTTAAATATCCAATACCATTTCCGCCAGCGACAAGTACACCCGTTGATGACCCCTGTGCCCATTTCATAACACGATTGTTTTCCCTATCAATCACATAGAGATCTGAGTTTGAGTCTAACCAAATACCAAGACTATATAATAATTGAGTTGCTGATGACCCGCCAATTCCAGTTCCTGCAACAGTAGTTCCAGACAGAGCACCATTTGCGTAATATTGAACACGATTATTGTTTGAATCGCTGATATACAAATTTAGATTTTGATCGACAAAAATCGCTGTTGGTTGATCGAGCTGATTTGAGTTACTGCCATTTGTACCATTTCCAGCCACTGTAATACCGCTGGACGATCCCAAAACCCATTTTTGAATTCGATTATTTCCAAAGTCAGCGACATATATATTATCGTTTTTATCAATGACTATTCCATAGGGTATATACAAATCACTACTTGAACTACCGGATATACCCATACTATTACCTGCAACAGTCGTGCCGGTTAAGTTCCATCCGAACAAGCCTAAAAAGTTTTAAATCTTAATGAGCTTCATTTATGAGAAAGAAACTGCTGCTGAAGTTTTTTAAAACTCTGTTTGTCCTCTGTCAGTCAAACGTCCACTTTTGTACTCAGGATGTTTATGACAGTTCTCTCATCTGCCTAAAAACACATGTATTTTACTGACTTTATCTACGAGATCTCTAGAAAACAAAAGAGAAAAACAGATCGTGTACATTTGTCACGGCTTCATGTTTAGATTAGAAATGTGGCAAACCAACTTTTCTCATCGCGGATCCATTAAGAGAAGAATCTTGGAGTAGAGCTTGCGTGTTCAAGTATTATAATGAAATCTAACTATGCACTTTTTGTAAAAAGTTTGACCGGGACTGACTACCCCTGAGTATCTTTTCAGTTCCAAAAACGCGTCTAAACGCGCTTTTTTGCTAAGAAACCTTCCTTATCCAAAGCCGTGTTTTCTTAGGAAATCGCGGTTAAACATCGCACGCAGTTGCTCGCGGTTTGAATTTATAATCGCGATTTCTTTAGTAAGAATCGCATTTCTGTGATCGAGCTGTCATCAGATACTGCATTGTCTAACTGCGTTTGCCCGCAAGTCACAAACAGGATGAGGTTTCACAGTGGGCATTCAGACGGAAATTTGAGCAAAACTCGACAAGTGAGCTTTTTTGAATTCGAACAGTAGTAAATGTAGTCCTTGAAAAGCGCTATCGAATGGTATATAATGATCGACTAGTAATGAACTCCTTCGATGAGTAAGTTAACTTACGA